AGGTTGCAGGGCTCCCTGGGGGTGTTCCTGCCCTCCCGCTCCAGGCCACGGATGCGCGGACATGTCTGCTGCCCGAGAGATGAAGTGCCTGATGCCGCCCTCCTTCCTCCGCCCCAGCACCTCATCGCAGCCCCCGGCCCTCCCGGGGTGCCCCCTCCCCGGGGCACCCAACACACTGCAGTTAACCCCACCACCTAACTCCTGCCGAGGGGCTTCCCTATCCCAGGTCCTTCTCCCGGCCCGATCCCAGCACAGGCTTTTCTTGGCCTGCAGCCCTTGGGGTGGGGATACTGCAGGTCTGGATTTTGCCTTTTTCTAACCAGTGCACCCCTATATCTCTGCCAGATTTATCTAGTTTGTGTTTTTTTGTAGATATTGGCTACTTGAAACTCAATCTCCAGTGAACAGAATTGCTACAAGATGCCTTTTTTTTGCTGATCCTGTGATTCCCACCCCCCTAATGTTTACTGCATATATTTAAAGGTTTGGAATAAAGTTATATGTAAAACTGTAGACACTACAATTGTAAATAAACTGTATATTTTGAAAAATAAAGCCTTTTAAAAAGGGTCTGGCAAACGTATCCCTTCAGGGCTGCTCCCACGTTCTCCTACCCTCGGTGCGTCCCTTCCCAGGTGCCGACGGCCCTCGGTGCTGTGGTACCTTGCTGCATATATTTAAAGGTTTGGAATAAAGTTATATGTAAAACTGTAGACACTACAATTGTAAATAAACTGTATATTTTGAAAAATAAAGCCTTTTAAAAAGGGTCTGGCAAACGTATCCCTTCAGGGCTGCTCCCACGTTCTCCTACCCTCGGTGCGTCCCTTCCCAGGTGCCGACGGCCCTCGGTGCTGTGGTACCTTGTGGTCACCTTTCTTGGCTGCCCGCGCTGATGAACTGTGGCAGGGGGAAACCACAGCAAACCGGCGTGACCCCCGGCTCTTGGCAACCGGAAGCTGGCTGAAGCCACCGCGCACTTCTCTGAAATTGGGCAACGGCATCACATGCGCCACTGTATTTCCCAAAATCAGCCTGGCCCTCTGACGAACCCAACCGCAAAGTTTCCTGCGCTCCGGGCAGAGGTCGAGTATCGTTTCCAGCACTTCCTTTGATACTGGGGGGGCCTGGGGCTGTGGGGATGGGGAGGGGAGCGGAAGGTCCCTAAGGACCAATGTCCCTCATGCGAGATGGGTATGCTAGGGAGGGTCCTGCCGCCCAGTGAGGGAAGCTCAGCAGGGCACTGAGCTGATGCTGGAGGTGTTATGGTGCCCTGGGCAAGCCTCACTGGAGCTGGCGGCACAGCAGAAGGGGTTGGGGTGCTCAAAACAGCAGCAAGTGTCAATAAGAGGGGCACAGCCTCACCCCATGGCCTGCTTGAGGCTGGGGGGGCCTGGGGCTGTGGGGATGGGGAGGGGAGCGGAAGGTCCCTAAGGACCAATGTCCCTCATGCGAGATGGGTATGCTAGGGAGGGTCCTGCCGCCCAGTGAGGGAAGCTCAGCAGGGCACTGAGCTGATGCTGGAGGTGTTATGGTGCCCTGGGCAAGCCTCACTGGAGCTGGCGGCACAGCAGAAGGGGTTGGGGTGCTCAAAACAGCAGCAAGTGTCAATAAGAGGGGCACAGCCTCACCCCATGGCCTGCTTCCTGCTGCACATCCTGCAGGCAATTCCTTCTTCCAGCGGGAAAACCCGGCGCGGGGGGATGTGGCTGGCCAGGCCCCTTCCTCCACCAGTCCTAGCAGCTTTTTGAGAACGGGGAGCCGGGGTGTCGTGGGAAACCACAGCGGGTTGCACAACGCCCGCCCGGGGGAGCAGGGGTGGGGAAAAGCACCCTATAAACTCTCAGCCGTCCTGCCGTGCCTCTCCAGTCCGCGGAGGCAGCCGAGGCGGAGGAGAGCCCAGGGGAGCCAGGGGAACCCAGCTGATTTCACTCGACAAGAGGACGAGCTTCTTCCCTGGGGGCCGTGCTGGAGGGAGCCTGAAGAGGAAGGGAGAGCGGCTGCAGCTTGTTTCTGGGTGCGTTTCTGTCTCGTTTCCAGCCGGTAGAGGCAGCACCCCGCTCTCAGTGCTGGCTGCGTCAGCCGCCCGG